AGAAGACTTCTGTGAGTCAGCTCAGCTCTATTCCAGAGTATAGGGAGTATGTAGGGGGGGGTGTCTGGGGACAAACCCTAATTTTACTAAGTATCACACTCCTATCCAAGGCACCATATGTAGCAGCAGGATCCTATAGCAAAGCTCCTAGTTTGAGTCTTAGTTACCATATGTGCAGCAGGGGAAAGGCTTCTAGCATGAAACTGTGCCAAGGGTCACACCAGAGATACATCAACATCCAGGCTTAGAGACAGCTTTCAGGTAAGTTCAGTCCTCCTCCAGGCTCAGAGACATTCTCCACATAAGGGCAGGAAGTCTCACTTGGGGGAGGGAGTCTTGGTGCTTTCCAGTTTTGGAGAGAGCTGCCAGGCTATGACAGACTGCAACCTCTGACCGGCAAGGCCTTCCAACACATACACACAACTAGACACCCCCAACACACACACAGACATAGACACACACACACACACACACACACACACACACACACACACTGGGTGGGGGAGAGAAGAGAGGAGAGGAGAGGAGAGGAGAGGAGGGGAGGGGAGGGGAGGGGAGGGGAGGAGAGGAGAGGAGAGGAGAGAAGAGAAGAGAAGAGAAGAGAAGAGAAGAGAAGAGAAGAGAAGAGAAGAGAGTAAAGGGTTAGGGTCTCATAATACCCTTCCAGGCCATGCCCCCAATACCCTTAGGGTCTTCCACAAACCAAAGGGCTACATAGGGGTAATTCCTCCTCTCAATAACGCCTTTCTAGGATGCAGTCTTTAAAGCAACAAACTTTGGGGACCATTCCAGATCGAAATGACAGCACCCGGCCATATTCTTACAGAATCCAAGGCACTAGACAATTTTACATGCAAAAATTTTAGTGTATATTTATACAAGATGTCAGTTTTAAAACATAACTGTGGCTGTCATAGAAAGCAAGCCAGGGCTCTTAACATATTGATCATCGCCATGAGTCTTATTCAAGCAGCATAGCATGAAAAGACAGAAACTATCTAGTCCAGCACAGCTCAAATACCATCTAATCACAGCAAATGTGCCCCCCCCTCCAGGATATCCCAATACTTTAAAACAGTGTTTCTCTACCTGGGGTCTTGACCCCTTGAAGGTGAATGACCCCTTCCCAAGGTTATATATCACATATCCTACATATCAAATATTTGCTTTACAATTTATAAGGGTGTCGAAATTGCAGTTATGAAGCAGCAATGAAATAATTTTAAGGTCGGGGCTCACCACAACATGAGGAACTTTTTTAAAGGGTCACGGCACTAGGAAGGCTGAGAACCACTGTTTTAAAGTATGCTGTGAACAATTCTTGCCCATCCCAGGCTCAGGAGGCCTCTCTAATAGAAATTTGTCCCTGAGTCTTTGCTTCAGAACTGCGGGTTGTCACAGGATAGAGGCTGGCCCTGACCTTCCTTGCAGAGTAACAGAATTTAATAATGGGCTGTGACGTGGTCACGCCAGAGCATGTAGGATTACTTAGGCAGAAACTAGTCTTGCCTCACTCAGTAACAAAACTGTTTTGTTTATTATGATCTGTGGTTTATTTAAAAACAAAAACTAATGAGCTGACAAATCGTGGCCTCTAAAACTATTTCTCCTTAGTGGCAGCATCTCTGGGTGAATGTGTTTAAAATTTTATTGACTGCAATGATTTTTGACCCAAGAGCCAGTCAGTCCAAACGCAGACACACAAAACCAAGTCATACATTTTAAATCATTAAAGCAATTGGATAAGGACCAAAATTCCCGAGGAGAGTCTACACTGGCTTCACGCTTCCTTAAGTGCGCTTCAAAGCAAGCAGGCACTGAAATCAGTATCTGCAGGAATAGAAACGGGGATTATCTACAACATTCATTGTCATGGTTACCCTACTAGTAAGACCATGAGGGAAACCAAGAGTTACTACATTTACAGACATTCTCTGGATAGTCACCCACTTTCCAACACTTTACTACATTCATGTTTGGAATGCCCATGCCCCATACAGAGGCCTTTCCTCATTGGCACCCAGGCAGTGAGGCTGCCCAGGCCCCTGTGCCTTGCCTTCTGGAATAGGACACAAGGTAAACTGTCTCCATCAAGATATTGGTAACTTAAATCCACTTGCTTTATTATCCTTCTTGGTACAGTCAAGCCCAATTTTAGCCCACTGAGTGCCCAGCCAGGATTTTGCAGGATTTCTATGCATCCAAGGGCTGACTTGTCCCGAAGAACTCTTCATTAACACCTCTCGTGACTTAAGTGTTTCATCGTGGAAACTTGGATTCATTTCTTTGTTTTCTGCAAGATGGATGAAAAAGAGAGACAGAACAGAAAAACTACCCATGTAGCAGGCTTTCCAGAAGATGTAAGGGTAGCAGATGAGGTTACCTGGAGCGATCACCCAGGCACATCAGTATTCACCGTATTCACAAAGCCATCCATCCAATCAGAGTTCTCTTTCCCCTTCCCTGCTCTCTGCTGTGGGAAGTCACAGGGAACATTCTCGTGACTTGGACACACACCATACTCCTGTGTTAGACCTATTTGGATTAAATGATTTTTGTCAGTTTTATTCACTGTTTTACTTTTAACACCTTGACCCAGGCCTGGCATATAGTAACAATCTAATAAATACGTGTTGAGTAAATGAATACAGAAAAGACCTTGTCCTGAAACAGGATATTGACAAATTGAGTTTGCGTTCATAAGTCAGTGTTTGCTCTATCAATGTTTTGAATGTTTAGCTGTTTCCCTAAACTTTTCTGAACAGCAAAGCTGTAAGCAGCCGCTGTGTTCAAACCTGGGTGGCTGCATCTCAGAAGTATATACCTTTTCCTGTCTTTCAAGAAAGTCTGACCAGTAGCCAACGACCTGTTAGGAACTTTATTTTGGTGTCAGAGCTGCCAGTGTAATCACGCCTTGGATAGTGGAGACCCAGAGTGTATCTGGATGTACCGATCTTTGTGCAAACTGCAACTCCAAGAACAGAAATTATGATTTTTTTCCTTCATGGTGACTGCATCCCTGGCCCAGTTTGAGGAAGCGTGAGATGGGTAGGTGTCAAACTTGCATTTGCTGAGATGGCAGCAGCCTTCTCTCCCATCCTGGACTCAAGAGCTGAGTTTAACATATTCTGACCTCACGATGTTATCTGTGTCAATGAGCTTGGGGCAACAGGGCAGAAGGCAGAATCCTCTTCACCTCCTTCATCATTGATAGTCACTAGTTCAAAGGTTCTCAAGCAAATTGCCATGTCTGCCTCTGAAAAGATCAATATGTATAAATGCCATGATAAATTGCCAAGGCCCCACCTTATCTGGATAAGTAGCCTCAAGCTGTTAAATTCCCAGCACTCTCCAGTCAAAACAAGGAAGAAACATAGTGATAAAACAAAATTAATTTCTTTCAGTCCTTCTTTTCTTCTGTTTTGTTTTTTGGTTTTGGTGAGGGTTTTTTTTTTTTTTTGGATTTTTTGTTTTTGTTTTTTTTTTGTTTTTATTTTGTTTTGATAGTCTTGCTGTATAGCCCACACAGGTCTTGAACTTGAGAACTAAAAAAATCCTACCTCCAGCTTCTAAGTGCTGGGGTTAAACCGTATGCCACCCAGCTCTTCTGGCATTTAGTTGCTGCTATTGCTGCTTTGTTTCATCTTCAGAGCCGGAGGCAGAACCCAGGGCTCAACAAGACAAGCTTTCTACCTCGGAGACACATCACCAGCTCCCCCCCCCAGGAAGCTTTCTGGCAACCCCTTAAACTCTCTAGGAGGAGGGAAAAAGAAACTACTTTTGCTGAAAAGAAACCCTGTAGGAGGAGGGAGGGGAATATATTATATACCGTGTATATATTTTGTTTCATAGACTACGTTGTACACCGCAGCCAACACATCTCAGACATGACTGCTGTCTGTAGACTGGCTTGGAGGAGCCGGATATTAACAGCCACAGCATGTAGTGTGTTAATCAGGACCCTCTATTAGCTCAGTGCATTAATGGCCACAGCATGGCTCATTGCTCTCAGTGTGTTAATCAGGACCCTCTATTAGCTCAGTGCACGTCCACCTTCCGCAAACGGTTGCTGTCAGCTGTCCAGAGCTGCTTTGCCGTGGGAGTCGGTCACCTGTGACCCTACTCCCCAACCCCTCAGGCTCCTTCTCCATGCTTTTCTGCTGTCAGGAGGCAGCCGTGTCCCCAAAACCAGAGTGCATTCATTTCGGAGACTACCTCTCCTAGGGGCAAACTGAGACTAGACTTTGTTCTTTCATTCAAAATGAAAACTTCTTTGGATAAAACACCCCTGTCTACAGTCCCAAGACACCAGCCTATTTTTTTTTCCTCTACCAGAACCTGGAGGGGTTTTATTAGGAGGCTCTGGCCACAGCCTAACGTTTGCAGTTTCAGGAGTGTGCTAACCTGTTGGGAATCCTCTCTGCTCGACTAAGAGCACCGTGCTGGGCAAAGGAATGAAAGGTCAGAAGACCAGGGTTCTAAGTGCTGTGACCACTGACAGCTTTTGGTGAATTGAGCTGATACGTGAGGGGTGAAAATTAGTCCCGAGTTATTTTTCCTAACTGAAGAAATGTAAGCTAAGTACCATAAAAACAGTAATGGAGCCAGACTCTAATTCCCCAGAAGTGCTTCAAGATTTGTTACAGGTACACTGGTCAAAGCCAAGAATGCCTACAAGTACCTGAGGGATCTCACTGGATCAGACTTAACAGTTATTTTGTGAGATAAGGAAAAATTAGAAAGGACTCTTGTTGAGGGACAAATACCCCAAATATTCTGGTTTTGACTACAGCTACCTTTACCTTAATAAATTTACTATTTAAGTTAAGAATATGAAAAGTATAAAAATCATCTATGTATGTAATTTGCAACTGATATTAAACTTTAAGGATAAGACTTACTCAGTTACATTTATTAAAATAAATAGAGCTTGAGGCGTCTAGGGAGGCCACTAGAAATTAAAAAGAGCCTAGATGTAGCAAAGAAGTACCATGGAGGGGTGCATTTGATAATTAGGTTTATTTTTAAAAAACAAATATCAAATACAGTCTTTAATCACTAGAATTTCACAGTTGACATTTCAAATATTTGATTTTTGGCTTGTGGTAATTAGATGAAAATCATCACTTTCAATATTTTTTCAACAGGATGGAAAAAGTCACGGTGGATTTAAGATCATTCATTTAATAATTTAACTTCATACAACATCAATAGGGAATTATGACATTGTAAACATTGTAAACATGATTATATCTTAGGCTATGAAAAAAAAGAAAATAATCAGCATCATTAATCCCCCAAACAGCACAATTCTCTCTTCCTTGGATACTAACATAGCAAAATTACCAAAATGACACTGACAGAGCCAACCTGTCAGTTAGGAGAAGATAAACAGAAGACAGTGCTTAACAGGGAAGAATCCCGGAAGGTTGCAACTGCAAAAGTCATTAGGGGCCTTCAAATGTTCTCTGGGGAATTCTGCAAATGCTCCTCAATGGTCCATACAGCTATTGGGAAGATCTGAGTCCCTGGGAGCAGCTCCTGACAGCAGCACTGGAATGCCGGCTTCAATCCAACTTCAAGGGTGCTGTGTCAGAAAACACACAGGAAAACCGTGTCAGTGACCTCCATACTCCCACCATGAGAGCTCATTCTGAGGTCCCAGCACATTCATCCACGGCAGCTGTGCGAAAATGACACCTTTAGAGGTGACAGCGAGGCCATTTTTCTTTAATTTTGGTGATGGTCAGATTGTAACTGGCATGGCTCTAGATTGGGTCTGTGGTGGATGGAGGAAGGAGTTGGGAGTCAGACGCCCGGTACTGTGAGAACCTGAGGTGCCGGAGATGAGACCAAATGTGGGCCAGAAGTCTGAATCATCAAATGTGCTCAGAAAGGTGGATACCATGCTGGGAGATGTTGGGTGGCTTGGGAGCTTTTCTTTCTTCGAGGGGTAAAGACCAGCTGATAGGCTATACTGAAAGGCTCAACAAGGACTCGACAAGTTCACAGATGCTGTCCAGGCCAACACTCATCTTCCTACAAATCTATGGTGAGGCCACTCTTTATAAATACGATGTCACCCACCCTCAAGATTAGACACATGCTGGCAGAAAAGCACGTAAATGTTCACACAGGCAGTGGTGGCACACACCTTTAGTCCCAGTACTCAGGAGGCAGAAGGCAGGTGGGTCTCTGAGTTTGAGGTCAACCTGGTCTACAGAATGAGTTCCAAGACAGCCACAGTTACACAGAGACACTCTGTCTTGAAAAACCAAAAGAAAAAAACGAAAAAGGAAAGAAAAGAAATGTTCACCATCTTTAATCATCAGGGAAATGTAAATCAAAACTACTTTGAGATTGCATCCTACCCCAGTCAGCATGGCCAATATCAACAAAACAAATGACAGTTCATGCTGGTAGCGAATACTCGTCCATTGCTAGTGGGAGTCTAAACTTGTACAACCACTATGGAAACCAGTGTAATGGTTCCTCAGGAAGATGGGAATCAATCTTTTATCATATACTATAAGAACATTTGCTCAACCATGTTCATTGCTACTCTAGTCATAATATCCAGAAACTGGAAACAACTGGATAACCCTCAACAGAAGAATGGATACCATGAAAATGGCACATTTATACAATGGAGTATTAGCCGGCCATTATGAAAGATGAAATCCATGACATTCACAGGTAAATGTATGGCACTAGAAAAAAAAGTCATCTCAAGTGAGGTGACTTAGACCCAGATATGGTTATGTGTATGTTCACTGTTAAGTCATTGACAAGCAAGCTACAAACTGTATAACATAGAGGTTAGATAAAGTGTAAGGGGCTAGGGGGAAGGATAGATCTTCCGAGGCTCTATCCTAGGAAGGAGAAATAGAACAGATAGTTATGGATGGGTGGGGGATGAGGGCTGCAATAGGAGGATCAAACAAAGAGAGGGAAGGAAGAGGGGGACAAGAAAGGGAATATGAGGAGGAACTGCTAAAACTAAGGGTCATTCAAGGGGTTGTATAAAAACCCAACACAGTAAGTACTAGCTTCCTATAATACATATATGAAGGCAATCTACATGAAGTAGCCAAATAACAGGAGAGACAGAGCCCCAACTGGACATGTCTTGTTATCAAATGAAGCTCCCAGTATTGGGAATGGGTTGCATCTAATTGAGTTCTTTAGGGCCAAAAGAGTCTCATAAGAACCCCCAAACAACCCAGGCTATTGGTAGCTCTCTGCAAACTGTCAATAAGGTCCTATTACTGAAAGCAACACTTAGACAACTTACTGATCACAAAGAGGAGGAGTTGGTGCCTACCTAGATACCTATAGACTAGCATTCATAGTACTGGAAGGTTCTCTGCATGCTACCAAAGGAGAAAGGTCAACAGCAACCCAAGCTACAAACCCTTCGCTCTACAAAAGTGACCTGCCTACAAGACGTTCTAGTGCAACAGCAGTACTAAGTCTGTGGGAATAACCAACCAATACCCGATTTGAGTTAAGGGTCACACCAAGACATGGAACCCATGCCCAGTGTTGCTTGGGTGGCCGAGAACCTGACAGGGTAAGGACCTAGAGGAAAAGCAATTACTGCTGTTCTGATAAAGGAACGCATCGATAAAATGGCTCCTCACGACCTTCTGCTGTACTCACAGACCAGCGTCTTGCTTAGCCATCTGAGAAGCTAACCTCCTGCTGAAGATGGGAACAAATATAGGGGTCCACCATGGGTAGACAACACGCAGAGTGAGAAACCTTGGAACGCTCAGCCTTACAAGGGATGTCCTCCATCAAGCCTCCCCTTAAAGCTCAAGGGAAACTGTGGACAAGCCGGCAGGAAGAATGCAAGAGCCAGAGGGGATGGAGGACAGCAAGGAATCAAGGCCTTTTAGACACAGCCGGGCTGGCACATCATGGGTTTGCCACAAATGGGACCCTGGAACTAAGGAAAGCAGATACACGCTCCTATCGCTAAACCCAGAAACTAGCGACACTTGACAGCCACTTGCTAATAAAAAATCAGTTTCCCTCTAAATGAGTCTCATTGGGGAAACAAACCACTCCCCTGCCTCCCCCCCTTTTTTTTTAACCTTATAGGTCCTTTGTGTATATATTATGGCTTCCAGTTTGAGGGGTGTATTGTTTTGTTTTGTGATACAGGGTTTCTCTGTATTGTTTTGGAGGCTGTCCAACAACTCGCTGGGTAGACCAGGCTGGCCTCAAACTCACAGACATCCGCCTGCCTCTGCCTCCCGAGTGCTGGGATTAAAGGCGTGCACCACCAACGCCCTGCTCAGCGTTTTTGTGTTTTGTGCAAACAAGTGTGCTTCTGTGTCTATATGCATTTCTTGTGCCTTTCCTTTGGCTCTTTTTGTTTGGTTGTTTCGTCACATTCCGATTCATTTCTTTGGACTTATTTATTTTTATTACTATTCTTTAGGCGCCCATTTGTTTTCTAACAAGAGACAGAAAGGGTGCGGATCTGGATTGGAGGGGAGGAACTGGAAGGTGTAGAGGGAGGGAATGCTGACTAGAATATACTGTTTGAAAAATCGATTTTCAGTAAGAGAAAAACAGGACGCATGTATACACACCCACGTACATACCACCCATGCCCACACCCAGAACTCACCGCTGTCTTCAGGGCTTGATCCAGGTCTTCCAGAAGGTCCTTTTCATCCTCTAGGCCCACAGAGAGTCGGATCAGCGTGTCACTGATCCCAAGAGTAGCTCTGTCCTTCTCAGGCACAGATGCATGGGTCATGGTTGCTCTGGAAGGAAATGCAAGCAAATTTCATCATTGCGTTATGCTGGTGGGGGCGTATTTCTAGCAAAAATATTGGCAGTTATCCTCAGGTCTCTTTTGGCTCCGATTTTTAAACCTTTATGGTTTTCCAAAGGCAAACAGAAAATAAACAGTTATCAAACCTATCTCTTCTTGTCATGATTTTAAACGAAAACCAGGAGTGCTTATGGCATTACTTACACATCATACAAATGTGTTGAAGACGGCAGTTTGGAACTCAGGTAGGGGAGAGACCAGCTACCAGTGGATTCGACCACCTGCCCAAATGAGGCTTTGCCTGAGACCAAATTGCTCTTACATTGCTCTTTACAAGAAACCCCAGGCCTCTACCAGGCAGCGACAGGCAACGGAAATTCTAGTGCAGAACACAAGGAAGAAAAGCCTGAAGAACATTCCTAACTAGGAGCTGATCGTCTTCAGCAGGTGTGAAGTCGGGCTTCCGTTGCTTCACGCACTGCAGGAAGAACCTGGAAGAAATGAGGTGTCCTCCTCCTGTTAGAGGATGAAGGAGGCACCGAAGAGAAGCTGATAAACCTACCCACGAAAGCTTGGCAAGACGCCTGTGAGAGCCCAAGGGAGGGTCTATCTGAATACACTGAAAGTCACACATAAGGGAGGCTGTGATACCTAGATGCAATGTGTGTTCTCTGCCAGTGTGCTTCTTATAACCCTCAGACCCATGGAAAAAAGCACTTGAGTTGCACAGTACACAAACAGTACCTTCTTTTGTCTTTCTAAGAAAGGTTTTTTTTTTAATTTTTATGTATATGGATATGATTGGTGGGCGGGGCGCAGGATGTGCGTGGAGGTCAGAGGACACATTTGTGGAGTCCATTCTGTCCTTCAACCTTTACGTGGGCTCTGGGATTTACCTCAGGTTGCCAGGCTTACAAAGCAAGTGCTGCCTTTACCTGCTGAGCCGTCTTGCTGGCCCTCTAAGAAAGTGCCTAGGCTGCTCTTGTTTTTTGTTGACTCGACACAAGCTAAAGTATCTGAGAAGAGGAAACCATAGTTGAGAAAGTGCCTCCATAAAGTTGACCTGGATGCAAGCCTGTGGGGAATTTTCTTAATTAATGAGTGGGCTGGGTCCACCCACATCAATCATTGACTAGGGCTAGTAGTCATGAGACATAAGAAAAAAAAATGCTGAGAGAGCCGTGAGAAGCAAGTCAATAAGCAGCACTCCTCCATGGACTCTGCATCACCTCCTGACTCCAGGTTCCAGGGATGGAGGAGAGAGTGACCTGAGCATTGTAAACTGAAGTGAACCTGTTCCTCCCCAAGTTGCTTTGGGTCATGTGTTTATCACTGCAACAGAAACCCTCAGACAGGAAGTTTTTAGATGCTAACAACCTCCTGAAAACACGCTGCCCTGACAGGTTCTTACTTCCCTAAGGGAGCAGGCACACATCCAAACAGTCCAGGGCCTCAGAGAGCAATACTTGAACCACATTCCAGGGCCCTCGAGATGTCTCAAAGGGTAGAGACTCTTTCCACGATAACCTGACAGCCTGAGTTGCACCCCCAGAATCCACGTAGTGTGGGTATAACGTCACAAAGTTGTCCTCTGATCTGTGCTTGCATGCCTTGGCACACACGCCCCCCCATTCCTCCACACACATCGTGCTTCACACACAGTAATAACAAAAAAATTAAGAAATGCATTCCCTCACCGGGTACAGTGACACAGGCCTTTAATCCCAGTACCTGGGAGGCAGAGGCAGAAAGAGCTCTGTGAGTTCAAGGCCAGCCTCGTCTATATAGTGAGTTCCAGGCCAGCCAGAGCTACATAAAGAGAACCCACCTTGAGAAAAACAAAACAAGACAAAACAAATCTCCGCTTCCCTCTCAAAGTAACCTCAGCAGAAGACCCCTTTCCTTAGTCACAGCAGCACCACCCTGTGGGGTGTGCGAATTTTTTTTTTTTTTTTTTTTTTTTGTGAGACAGGGTCTCACTGTGTCGCCCTGGCATCCTGGGACTCCTGTCCCTGCTTCTAGAGTACTGGGATTAAAGGTGCGCACTATCAGGCCAATTATTGCTTTTTGTGTTGTTTTGCTTCAAAGAAAACTTCCATTGTTTTGTTTATAATGAAATAAAATACAGTAAGACAAAAATTAACATGGAATAGGGAAAAACAGAAAGAGTCTAAGAGAAGGAACAAGAATCAGAGACCCACTCATCTGCACACTCACGAGCCCCATAAAAACACTAAACAGGAAGCTATAATACACACGCAAGGAATCTGTAGGGTAAAAGGAGAGAGGAAAGAATAGGTAAATAGAATAAACACAAGCAAAGACAGATTTTTAAAAAAAAGTTTAAGGAAAAGCCTGGACATGACATTATAAGACAAGAAACCTCCAAAGACGCTACTGAGTTCATTTTTCTGTTGGCCACCTACAGCTGGGCAGGCAGCCATTACTGGCTGCAACTTCCATCTTAAAGGTATTTCACAAGCATCAATTAAAGCACGTAAAGTTATTTTAATTAGGGAATACTAGAAAGGTAAGGACTGTGTGAGCTCAGAAAAGGCAAGTCTTCATGGACTTCGTTCCAATAAGACAAAAAACAGAAAACAGAAGAAAATTAAGAAAAGAGGGGAGGAGGGGAGAGCCAGTGCTTAAAAATGTAACAGATGCCTAAAGTAGTCCATAGCAATAGAGACCTTTCTAATGTTGTAATGAGAGCCAGGGCATTAACTCAGGCATCTCCCCCACACTCTCTGAATTGAGATTAAGAAAGGGTAAAGTCCCTGACTAGTTTTATGTCAACTTGACACAGGCTAGAGCCATCTGAAAAGAGGGAGCTTCAACCGAGAAAAATGCCTCTATGAGATTCAGCTATAAGGCATTTTCTTAATTGCTGTTTAATGAGGCAGAGTCCAGTCCACTGTGGGTGGTTACCATCCCTGAGATGGTGGTGACCCGGCTTCTGTAAGAAAACAGGTTGAGCAAGCCGTGGGAACCAGCCAGTAAGCAGCACCCCTGCACAGCCTCTGTATCAGCTCCTGCCTTCCAGGTTCCTGCCCTGTTTGAGTTCCTGTCCTGACTTCCTTCAGTGATGGGTATGATGTAGAAGTGTGAGTCAAATAAACCCTTTCCTCCCCAACTTGCTTTTGATCATGGTGTATCTGGGTGAGACAGTCACAGAGTGTTTTCTAAGGCTACAGAGTTAACGTAGGGTATCTTGGTGGGAGACAAATCTAGTATGCAAACTCTACTTCCCCTCCTCCATATTTCTCCAATCACAACAGTGTTGGGAGGCCCAGAAGGAAGGGTGCAAGCCCAGACTGAAATATCCTTATCCAGTCTGAGGGCTGAGTAAGGTTAACCCAAACCCTAGTAAATCAGGGAACATTGATAGTTAATGAGGAAGTCTTAAAGCCATAAACTTTTCCTCCTCTGAGAGAAGCAAACTGATTGCACACATGAGTGCCCTCTTGTGTTCAGAGACCTTCTCTCCCTCTCTCTCAGACATCTCCCTGAAAGACCGGGGAAGAAAGATGCCACCTGACCACTTCAAATCCTGGCTTAGATATATTTCCTTAAACTTCGCTAGTCAGGCTCTCCCTACAACTGTAAACGGGAAGTATGCTTACACGCAGGAGTTTGGATCTTTAATACAGAGCTTCCAGGACACAGTCATTGCCGAATGTGTACAAAAAATAGCGCAAAAAAAAAAATCTCATGAGAGCTGAGTGTGGTGGTGCACATCTGTAAGCCAAGCATTTGGAGCTACATACAAAACGGTCTGTAATACAATGTCATCCCTGGCCACAGGACAAGTTTTAGAGCAAACGGGGCCATTTGTCCTGCCTCAACAAAGTAAAACCAGAAAACAACAGCAACCAAAATCGTGTTCATTTAATAGCAGGTGAACAAAAAGCACTGATGCCATGTTCCCTTGGTAAGAGCTGTAATTAATGGTCCCATCACGCCAGACTGTGGAATATCCCTTTAAATTATGTGAATGTATGTCACTGTGATTGGTTTATAAAGAAGCCGACTGGCCAACAGCTGGACAGGATGAGGTTATGTGGGAGAACCAGACTAAGGCCACTGGGAAGAAGATGGGTGTAGTCTGAGGAGTCCCAGTGGCATGCAGAGGAAACAGGAGACAAGTGTGCTGAAGAAATGTACCGAGACACGTGGCGAAAAGTAGATAAGACGTATGGGTTAACTGAAAATGTAAGAGCTAGCTAGTAACAAGCCTAAGCTATTGGCCGAGCATTTATAAGTGATATTAAGTCTCCATGCCCATTTACTTGGGAACTGGTGGGCAGGGAAGAAAAAATCTGCCTACCCCGACTGCCCAGCAGGTCAGGCCACAGTCAGCAGTAACCAGTGCCCTAATACCAATCTCATCCTATGGATGCAAGTGTGCTGCAGAATTTGGCAGGATGCATCAGAGTTCTATGCACTGTTAAGTGCACACAGCATCGGAGGCTGAGATCCACCTAAGTCAAGCTCCAACCATGAACCTGGAGTTCCCTCGCTCACTGATGCAAAGTGAGCCCACTAACCACCAGTCCAAGAGCTAAGAATGTTATCAACAGCATCGTGGGACTGTAAAACAGCTCTCACTGTCTGGCGCCTGACTCTCCGATGCACCTACCGGTACATTTTAAACTTGACTTATGACTTTCGTTTGTTCTGTAAAACTATAAAAAAAAAAACCAAGAAGCTGCTTCTACATTGGAACATGGAATTTGGGTTAACTTAATCTCTGTGTTCCTGGGTCCACGTTCTTAACTCCCTGTAAGACGAGAGCTGTGGTTTTACGTCAACAGATGAGAGAGGTCCTCGAGACTGACGCAGCAGCTCAGCCTGAGGCACAACGCAAAGGCAAAAAGGTAAGATAACCAACTATTAAAAATAAAGATTAAGCGAGTGAGACGCAACAATAACCAAGAGGAAACAAGAGCATACTTACGGAAGCTCGGCGAGACTCTCGTATCCTCCCAGGCTCTCAGCCAGAGTAAACAGCTGGCAAAAGAAACAGGAGTTCAGATGGCCCGATAACATAGTGCTAAATTCTGAAAATAAATGTCTTTGATAAAATTTCTCCTGCTCAGGAGGGATGAAGAGTGATAGAAATTGTGATGAAACAAGAATCAGGGGCTGGAGGGATGGCTCAGCGGTTAAGAGCACTGACTGGCCTTCTAGAGGTCCTGAGTTCAATTCCCAGCAACCACATGGTGGCTCACAGCCATCTTGAATGAGATCCGGTGCCTTCTGCTGGCATCTAGCCAGAAGATTGTATACACAGTAAATAAATAAAATTAAAAAAAATCAGGCAAGATACTAAGAAAAAGTCAGAATTAAGTCTAAGACAATTAGATGTACTGCCTTCAAACCTAGGTTGTCATCCTAGGGCTCAGAAGACAGAGCCAGAATGGTCTCTGTGAGTCCAAGGCCAGCCTGAGCAACACAGAGAGACCTTATCTCAGACAACTTTACAAAGGTCTGGGGGTTGCAGCTCAGTGTAGAGAGCTGGCCTGTCTGTACAGGACTCTGAGTCTCATCCTCACAGCTGCAAAGTCAGTCTGTCAGTCAGTAAATCAATCAATCAACAATAAACTGACCAAAGTCAGTTTCCTGCCTCAGCCTGGTTTGGATGATAACTAAGCAATCTGTAGGTATTAAATATTATGCTTAAGATAGATGGTGGCATATAGCACCACCCAGGAGGCAGAGACAGATGGTAGCTACAAGTTCAAGGCCAGCCCGGTCTACATACCAAGTGCTAAGGTTCTAGACTATAGAATGAGTAAGGCCCTGTCTTTTTCTTTTTTTTTTCTTTTTTTTTTTTTTTTTTTTTTGGTTTTTCGAGACAGGGTTTCCCTGTGGCTTTGGAGGCTGTCCTGGAACTCGCTCGGTAGACCAGGCTGATCTCGAACTCACAGTGATCTGCCTCTGCCTCCCGAGTGCTGGGATTAAAGGCGTGAGCCACCAACGCCCGGCGGCCCTGTCTTAAAAACAAAAGCAACAGTAACTACACATATATACATATCATACTTGAATATCATTTTCATGACCTCTAAAACCTAAAATTTTTATCTGCAGGCCTACCTCTCTTGTCTCCCTTTAAATAAATACTTTGGAATGTCTACCATTTTCTAAACTAGTCAATATGTAGCTTTTTTTTTTCTAAGATCTGGTTTCTCTGTGTAACAGTCCTGGCTGTCCTGGAATTCCTATTGTAGACTAGGCTGGCCTTGAATTCACAGAGCCTGCCTCTGTTTTCTGAGTGCTGGAATTAAAGGCATGAGCCACCACACCCGGCTATGCAGCACCTCTCAAATTAGCACCTCCTTCAGTTGCCCAAGGAGAAGGGGAAACTTCTTGGTCTAAACGTTGCTTTGGTTTGCACATGGTTCCCTAAGGTTCCCTGTGTGATGCCACGATGGGCAGGCCCTGCAGAGTAGCATCTCCTGGAGGTGCCACCCTGATTCATGTTCACTGGACCGTGGTGCCTAACATCTAGGACCTTCCTGCTCCTGTCTTCTTGCTCCTGCGTGGATGCGCAGACAGGCAGCTCCAGCCCTTCAGAACTACACGCTGAGTGACCTGCCTTGCTTTGGGTGAGGTGGGTCCCACCCAAGTTCATGGGTTGGAGTCAAGGTCCCCGCAGTGTGATGTGTCTTTAAGAAGTGGGGCGTGGTGGGAGACTTTGAGGCCGCTGAGGGGGAGAGCTAACCGATTGCCTCCAGAACAAGCCTGCCCCCAACTGCCGTTGGCCCTCTTGACTGGTGACTGCTCTTACTCCGGCATGTGATGCCATCTGACACTAAGCCCTCAGCAGAGGGCACAAGGAAGGCACCGCCTGACTCTGACCTTAAGCTTGTGGTCTCCAACAGCCAGTGAAGTAAACCTCTACTTATAAAGTACCCTGTCTCTGGCATTGTGTGATAGTAATAAAAAACAGGCTAATATACTCAGTGTTGGGTATTATAGCAGCAATAAGGACTAAGATTGTATTACAATGCCATAAAATTTACTCCTTTCTTTCTTGTTTGAGACAGATTCTTACTGTGTTGCCTAGCCTCATCTCAGACTTAGAGGATCACATGATCCTCCTGCCTCAGTGTCCCAGGTAGCTATAACTGCCTAACTTTTTTTTTTAGATATATTTATGTTAGTTTTTTTATTACCTATGCCTTTAAATCACAGGATAGAACAAAGGTCATCAATACCATAATCCCTTTATATTCCTTCTTATGTGTATAAAAAATAATTCTGACAGAGGATTTTTTTGCACCTGTCTAATGTGCCTTTGTCCACCAGCTGAACAAAAACATATGCAAGTGCCATATAGAACTGCGTAACTTAATTTTACTAAACTTCTGAAGTTAATACCGCCCTTCCAATCTTAGAGACAGATTTGAGCCAGGAGAGCTTTGCTCTGTCTCATGGGAGCGGCCGTGTAAGCGCAAAGCCGGGAGTGACTATGAGCCGCTGAGTGCTCGTCTCGGAGAAAGAGCCGTGAGCTCACCTTTAGACTCTTGAGAAACGCCTCGGCGTGCCGCAGCGTACCCTTGATGTAGAAACTGACCATCCCCGGGCAGCCCGAGCACTGGCGCTTGACCAGCTCGTGCTGAGGGTGAGAGGGTAACCCTGCAAAGGAAGCACAAACACAATCTCATTCTAGAGCCACACACACAATTCCAAGGGAACAGCTTCGAGTAAGCCTGATAGCGGGGTTACAGACATCTCTTCCGCATCCCCCCACGCCCTGGCCACATCTTTCCTGATGCCAGCGGCATGCGCTCTTTCATTCAGGACCCCCGCACGCCTGGACTTCCTTGTTAACTGCATCCTTCTGGAATTCCGTAGTTAACGCGTTTTTAGGAACCAAGGCTGTCTCCGTGAGGACAAATCCACTTATCTTATTAATAACTGGATTCACAGTCCTAGAGAAAATCCAGGCCCAACAGTTGTTGGATGCCCCTGGAAATACTCAACTGTTGCTGGAGGTTCTCTTGTTCTACCAGGTCCTACTGCTTCGACCCCAAATGAACACACAGATGCTATATTAGTTATAAAACTGTTGACCGATGACTAGGGCTTCTTACTGGCTAGTACTGTCTTAATTATTAACCCATTTCTATTAATCTATGTATTCCACATGATCTTGGATTACCAGAGAATAGTTTGTCGTCTACATGGTGACTGTGTTTGGCAGGCTCTCTCTGCCTACCTTTCCCAGAATTCTCCTCATCCTAGTCCTGCCTGTCTTCCTGCCTCATAGACTAGACAATGTTTTGTTCATCAAGCAATAAGAGAAGCATATATACAGACATGCCCACAACTCAGCCATGAGCATTTAACAAGTGCTACCTGTTCCTTGGAGCATAGATCATAGCCCTTCTCTCTCCCTGTATCCAAAATGTGCCCCCAGCAAGCAATGTTTATACCAAATGACAGGCAGAGATCTGAGCTCATGCATTTCTACTCTGATGTAACCAATTTCCTTGAAGACAAATCTTAACTACTACCCTACACTCATGATCCCATAGCCATGGGATCGAAGAACAAGGTTGCATAAGCCCATGACAGCTTAACTAGTAACCGATAACATAAACTCAAGGGGTGAGAATGAGTCTGCTAACCCACCTAAAAAAGGGTGATGAATTGAAAAGAGCCTGGGAGTGAGGGTGGGGGATTCTGGTGCATTAAGTCGAAGTGGGGTGAATTTATGTCAGATTATAGTGTTGAACAAGTGACTGGCAGGGTCATGAGCCAATCAACCAAGAATTATCCTATGAGTGGAGTATACACAAACCTCAGAGCTAAGAACCACAGAAGCATCTAGCATGTGAGGCTGTTCTTAGCACCTGATATCCACTGACCCCAGGCTAACATCTTATCCTGTCTATCTGCTCTCCACCATGCTCACTTCAGAGCCTGCCACAAGGTGAAAATAACTAATGAACATTGTAAAATTAGAGGAGAAACTCAGAAAGAGTGACCCACACACAGTTTTAAACTAGACAGAGCTGCTTAGAACCTGGGATGACATACCAGGATAAATAACTTTTTCTACCCGGGGATTCGACTCCAGGAAACGGGCCACTGCCATCCCATTCTTGAAGTGTTTCTCCATCCGGACCTGCAGAGTTTTCAGGCCTCGGCAGCAGAGGTAGCAATCAAAAGGGGAAGGAACCGCCCCGATTGCTGGAAAGGGAACAAGTGTTGGGTTAGCATGAAGGTACCACGGAGTCCAGGGGATCGATCCCCGGGTTCTTCTTTTTCAAGACAGTGACTCGGAAAAATCTAGCTATGAAGCTCGGCATTAGTGTTTTGGGAAGAAATCTCCATGTCAAACGGAAGCATGGAATGAAGACAAAAATGCACTTAGAGCTGGGCGATGGTGGCGCACGCCTTTAATTCCAGCACTCAGGAGGCAGAGGCAGGTGGATCTCTGTGAGTTCGAAGCCAGGCTGGTCTGCAAGAGCGAGTGCCAGGATAGGCTCCAAAGCTACACAGAGAAACCCTGTCTCGAAAAACAAACAAACAAAAAAAGTGCACTTAGAGAGACGTGCTATAAATCAGAGAAACGGTTATGTTGTAAGAAAACAAGGTGAGGCTTTGGGCCAAGACAGTCCTGTATGATTCAGTAAAGTGACACATGGCACAGTGTGGGGCTTCACACCTTTGAAAAGCACCACAGAGAAGTCTGCAGTGTGGTCACAACTGCCTCTACACCATCAACTAACACACACACACACACACACACACACCTCATTTCTGTGTTTGAAGCTTTTATGTTTACTCTAAATTATGTGTGTATACATGTATGTATATACGAGTGGGCTTACGTAGGAGCCAGAGGAGCAAGTCAGATCCTGGGAGCCATAGTTACAGGTGACTGTAAACCCTGGCACATGTGTGCTGGGAACTGAACTGAGGTTCTCAGGACAAGCAGCTCCACAGCTCTTGGCGGCTGAGCCCTCTCGTCCCTACTTATTTTATCAAGCAGCCGGTCAACTCCCCTCCTCAATCCCTTTGCTTCTAGAAGGGTATTTGCTGAGGAACAATCCTCTAGCTCACTGTAAAGATTTGTCACTTGGATTGGTTTAATAAAACAATGATTGTCCAGTGGCCAGGCAGGGAGTATCGGTGGGGTGACCAAACTGGAGTTGGGAAGTCGCCAGCCAGATGCAGAGGAAGCAAGATGAGAATGCCACACTGAGAAAAGGTACCAAGCCACGTGGCTAAACATAGGTAAGAATTACGGGTTAGTGTAAGTGTAAGAGCTAGCTGGTAATAAGCCTGAGCTACTGGCTGAGGGTTTACAATTAATATAAGCCTTTGTGTGGTAAGTTAGGAAGCAGCTGCCAGGTATTTGGAGTTGCTGGTAGGACAGTGACTTCCGCCAATAGGTATTATAATTTTTAATCATGTCTGTTTCTTATCTGCCAGAGTGCAGTGATCACCTATATTTGAGGCAAACTGAACAACCTACCATGGAAAGGTATTTAATATACAGTAAGGTGTATGTTTAGGTCTTCAGTACTACTCACACATAACCACCATTCCCCCGGGGGCTTATGTACATGAAAGCCAACATTTCAGTGTTTAAAACAAAGCCACCGAGTCTTAAAAACTCACTACAGTTTTATCAATATTGTTAAGCAAATAACAGAATTCACTCCTTCAAGTCATGTCATGAAGTCATAAAATCTTGCTATGCTGAAACTCTATTTATTTATTTGCTTGTTTATCTGAGACAGGGTCTCACTTTGCTAACTGGCTTGAACCTCACTACATATGTAGGCCAGGTTGGCCTTGAACTCTCAGAGATCTTGCTGCCTATGCCTAGCCATCAAGTGCTGGGTATAACTATGATTTTATAGTCTTTATTTTTCCCTTCTCTCTCTCTCCTTCCATGTGTTATAATTTTCTGTGGAAGTACAAATATCAAATGTAGTCTCTGGTGGCATAACAAGAATCCAGGCTTAGGGGTCTGGAGAGATGGGCCAGTGCACAAGAATGCTTGCTGTACAAGAATGAGGGCCTTGAGTTAGGATCCCAGCACCCAAGTAGCAAGCTGGGCATAGTTGTGGGCACCTAGAACCCCAGCGCTGTGCTGGACAGAGGCAGGAGGATCACAGGTACCCAGACACAGGTTTGAGTAGTGAGCCTGTCCCAAACGACGAAGGTGGAGGGTGTCTTCTTGTGGGCTGTACACACACACGCCACACACACACACACACACACACACACACACACACACACACACACACACACACACACCACACACACCACACACACATACAAGAAGCCCAGGCTCTTGACCACTCACTCACAGTTCTGCAGGAAACGAAGCCGATCGTTGAGGTCATCAGAATTCACAGACACTAAGCCCATGACAACATCACTGTGGCCTAAAAACCGAAACAAAAACACCACCATCAATACCAATTGGTGCTTATTCTCCATTTCATAATTTCCAAGCCCTGAATTCTCTCTTGAAAACATCATAAGGGGAAAGGCTTATTATCTTTGAACATTTAGGCGGACTTTACCCAGTTTTATAGCAGTGACTATATCAAAGCAGTAAAGTAAAAAACCATAGAAAGAGTCCATGTGTCTCCAAGCTGCCAGCAAAATGAAAGCATAACCCCTTACAGGAAACTCTATGAGCCGCAGATGCAGTTTTGTTGATGAGAAATGAAAATTCTGAGTATGGGGATGTACACCCCAGTGCCTGGGACATAGGGAGATCAGAAGTTCGAGGCTAGCCTTGGCAAGTAGCTAGTTCCAGACCAGCCTCAGCCACATTACAATCAAAGCGCTTCTTTTTATTTTACTTTTCAACACAAGTCACAAATAAATCCTACACAACAGCAGAAGGGGCCAAAATGCCAAACCTTGCTACCATCATCTATTTGTGGTGAAGAATGTTTAAGATGCAGGCTACGATCATCTTACCATTCATGTATTTTGTGGCAGAACACATGCAAATGTCAGCACCCAGAGCCAAAGGTCGCTGAAAGAAGAAAAGAAAAGGCATTTTTACTTTAAATGAGAAACCATCTGGAATGCACCTGTCTATCTACTTGTATCTGTTGCCTCAATTCATCTCTACCCACACATTTTCAATATTTTCTAAGATCACGAGTCTGCCTCTACATTCCCTTCTACCAAAGAAGCATCCAAAAGAAAAAGAGAAAACAAAAACAAACAAACAACTAAAAAATAGACTGGGATCAGACTCCGAAGGTGCAACCTGCCTGGAAACAAAAGGCAGACCCAGGCCAAGCCACCCTTCACCTTTCTTTGCGGTTGTTAGCTGGCCCTGAGTTTATTGCCTGCAGCAGAGACTCATGCATTTTATGAGTCGTTAAACAGCATGGAGCAGTTTATGAAAGCGTCTAGCAATGTCTGTGCCAAGTGAGTGCAAAGTACTTTGCTTAGATTTTTAATTGTTAAAACCTTACAAGGTACAAGGTGATGGTTAACGCTTGATCCGGCCTTCCTGATTCCTAATCACTCTTTCATTACACTAGTTTTGACAAGTATAAAGTCACAAAGAAATCTGTTGAGGCAGGAGAGAAGGCTCAGCATGACCTGAGCTCAATCCCGAAAACCTAAAGATTGAAGTAGAGAACAAAATCTACAAAATTGTCCTCTGACCTCCACATCCACACTACAGCACAGACACATACACGTACGAATGAAAACGGTCTTCAAAAGGAAATCTGCCCAGATTATTCTCCTGCGCTAAGGTTGCTGCCAACTGATCAGCCTTACAAAGTCTCTCTAGGGAGCTCACAGTAAGTTAGAACACCCATGGCTGTGGGTGGAATGTCTGTGTCCCCCGCGTCACATGTTGAAACTTAACGGCCATGCCACTAGGAGTCAGGACTCTGGGTGATGAGCACCGGATGACAGACCCACTATGAAAGTATCAGAGCCCTACCAGAGTCCGAGAGAGCTGCCTGGATTCTTCTCCCATGAAACTTGGTCCTGCACACACTTGCTGGGCTTGGCCTTAGAACTGTAAGAAGCCAAGTCCTGTTATGAAGCCACTCAGATGACAGCACCGTGGCACAGCAGCCAAATGGGCTAAGTCGTGACGTAAGACAGGTGAAGTAGAAATTCCTTATTTTACATGGATTGATAACCAACACTCAGTCATGACATGGAAGGCATTAGAGATACAACCACCTAACAAGCCATGTCTTCACGGGCTTCATATAACCTAGCAGATCAGGAAGGGCTGCCTGGACGATGTTCTAAAATCTCAGGCTTGTGTGGAGAAAAGAAGGGCTACAACAAAAAGCAAAATCCCCAGATTCTAAGGACCAGCCCAACCCTGTAGTAAGGAGTTCAAGATCTGAATTCCTAATGGTTACTGGTGTCTCACCCCACATAGCCAAGGCAGGGTCACTGTTATAAATTTGCTGCCGAATATCTTCTTGATTCAGATGGGGCTCCCCCAAAATGATCAAAGAGGCAAAGAAGCCAGGTAACCTCTCTTAACTGCTATAAAGGACTCTGCTGCTTCTGAGAGATATAGACTCTCTGAGAATTTGTCCACCATGTTTCTGTCCCTAGTGCCTATTCTTAGCAATTATGGCCTGGCAAATGTGTTTACTCCAATGCTTGGGGCCCACTGTTCCCAACAAAGCCTCCAAGGAGATAGTAACACAGTTTTGAGATATTAACTAATGCAAAAAAATAAAAAGGCCAAATCTGATTCTATCTCTAATCAATAGTATTTTGATATACAACTACTTTGAGTTTAATAATGATTTTACTATAAAGTAGTCCTTCCTTTCCTAATTACAGATAAACCTGTAGTTTGTTAATCATGGAAAAAAACCCTTCCTTTTACCTGGAAATACGAAGACATGAAAGTGTTATCTACAACCAAAATGATGTCTCCGTGCTTACGGACGATGCGCGCACAGGCTTCGATGTCAGTTATCTTCAAGGTTGGGTTTGTGGGTGTTTCAATCCAAACAAGCTACAGTAATTCAGCAAACAACAATATGTAAAAATATACCACACACATATACATCTCGCAAACCACAATGTAGAAGGATGCTACTACTTCCCATACTGGAAAGGCTTAGACAATGAAGGTGGAATGGTTAGGTTTGAATCTGAGCTTTCCCTATAAATTGCTGATAGGCTACTGCTCTGTAAATACCCTTCTGTCTTCCTCAAGTCCTCATCTGCATAAAAAGGTTGGTGATATTTATCTTACAGAACAAAGACATAATATCTGTTCTCAACACAAATAATATAGAATATATGAAAATACATCCTCACTCTGGGGAAGTAGTTCAGTAAAGACTTTGCCTAGCATGCATGAAGCCAGGGATTAATCCCAAGCACTTCGTAAACCACACTCTGGAGGCTGAGGGGTGATGCCTATATTCCCAGCACTAGAGTAACAGAGGCAGACAGGTCCAAGGTTTACGGTCAGCTGCACAGAGTCTGGAATATAAGCAGCTCTACTCTATACAGGCTGGAATTTTCATTAATGAGAATTACACCCAGCACATCAAGGACACCCTCAGAGTTAAATAACAAGTGCACTAGAAACACTGCACTTGAGGAAGTGTATTAGGGTGAGGAAAAGAAGTGGCAGCCATGAAGAAAGCTAGGTTCACTGACAGAGCTCAGATGTGCTGCAGCCCAGCTACGGCATGCACCCTCAACAGGTGCATATGCTTTGAACTGTACAACTTACAGCTTTTCTCTTATAAGAACCAATGACTTTTCACTACCTACGTGCACAGACAAGAAGTCTAGTTAAATACACTCCCTGTCTGGAAGCTCACTATTAAAAAGTAGTTTTAAGTCAGGCGTTGGTGGTGCACACCTTTAATCCCAGCACTTGGGAGGTGGAGGCAGGCGGATCTCTGTGAGTTCAAGTCCAGCCTGATGTACAGAGCGAGTTCCAGGACAGGCTCCAAAACAATTCAGAGAAACCCTGTCTCTAAAAACAAAAACAAAAAACAAAAAAAAAAACAAAAAAAAGTAGTTTTAAAATCTTGATTTACATAAAGAGCTATAAAAATGACTCCTGGGTAAGAATGCTAGATTCTCATCTAGATAATTTAAAAATAAGCAAAAATGAAAACAAGTAACCAAGTACAAAATAGGTTTTATGTGGACTTTAAAAACTGACTACAGAGGCTGGAGAGATGGCTCAGTAGTTAAGAGCATTTGTTCATGAGAAGACCAGGGTTTGATTCCCAGCACTCACATGGTGGTTCCCAACCATCTGTAATTCCAGTTCTAAGGGATCCAACACCCTCCACAGGTAGCAAACATACACATGGTGTAACATATGTGCATGGAAACAAAACACTCATATGCATAATATATATGCATACATATATATCTTCAAAAGCAGAGCCTGTACTTCAGGGGAAAATATATTAATTCAAGTGCATAGATGGGCCAGCAGATAAAATTGTGTAAACAAAATTTATCATACTCATGATCTAATTTCTTCCCTTGGGAGGTCTCAGACCAGCTATTTGAATAAACCCTTTTCTCTCAAGCAACATGAAAAGACAACTCCCTTGAAAACAAACCTTATTATCGGCCCCAGGGCTAATCTAGAAAGAATTGCTTGTGTGAAAGAGCTCTGCCTTTTAGCATTCGCTACCACATGAGCAGAAAGGTTCACTCATAAAAGACACTGGCCTTTCACTCCTGAGGAATTTAAATGAGGTCCCCAAATACCACATCCGATATTCAGGAACAAATACCTTCTACAGCACACAAGCTTCCCAGGGCTGAGATCAAAGTCCCTGGACTGACGGAGTCTGTAGTCTTTGAACGATGCTATGCTTTGGTATCTTGGTATGTCTGAGAACTACGTACTCTTGAATTTAAGTCTTAAAAAAAACATTTGGGTGGAACTGAGAGATCAAATCCACAGTAGCTTCTAATACAATACACATAAAAAATTAAACTTATTTTTAATTTTTAGGGGTGACCTGCCCCTAAAAGACAAGTGTCACTTTTAAAAGGCCACACCTCTCTGGAACTCTCTCCGGGATAGGGTTAAGAAACAGGCTGTGCTGTGACTAAACCTAATTTATGGTACCCGGCTCATTCATTCTCTTTGTCGTGTATACAACGTTGAACTTAACAATACAACGTTGAACTTAACAATACAACGTGAAACTTGGGAAAGACTGGTATCTCCTTTGTTCTTGGGATTGCTGTGGGGTTCACTTCAGAGAGGCTCCCTTGGCTCCCCCCACCATCCTTTTCATGGCAGCCATCGGTCCCTGTGTGTCTCTCTCTGCCTCTCATTCTTATATGAACACGTGTGGGTACCTAAGGAGGACAAAGACATCAAATTCCCTGGAGCTGAAGTCACAGGCAGTTATATGGGCTAGGAACCCAATGCCGGTGCTGGGAACCAAATTCAGGTCCCCTGCAAGAGCATTACACGCTCTTATCCACTGAACTGTCTTTCCAGCCCCACCCCCTCCATGGTTTAAAGAGAAAAAAATCTCTCTTTCCTTTTAAGGCCCTGCTATATGGTTTTTAATAACATATTGTGACTTGTTTGTTTGTTTTCGAGACAGGGTTTCTTTATGGCCTTGGAGGTTGTCCTGGAACTAGCTCTGGTAGACCAGGCTGGTCTCGAACTCACAGAGATCCGTCTGCCTCTGCCTCCCGAGTGCTGGGATTAAAGGTGTGCGTTACCACCGCCTGGCTCACATTGTACCATTTTATGTCTAGTGCTCTTTTCTTTCCACCTACCTCAAGGACCAATTGGAATTCCACTTGTGAATTTGTGTGTGCACTCCAGGTAATTATGCTTTTCAAACCATGGAGACTCTAGCCTGTGTCGATCTCGGTGTTTCTAACAGCTTCGATTAAAAAGTCTTTTTGGATTTAAATTACAACCTCTAGTGAACAGAAAGGATGTAAGTAAGGCAGAACGGGGAAAACGGACAGAATCAAAAGGCAGCTGGTTACCTTGGTTTTCGGTGTAATCGCTTCCTCTAGCAATTTGGTTTTGGAACACTCCACAAAAGAAACCTTCAGCCCAAATTCTGATGCCACCCTCCTGAAGTATCTGTTGGTGCCTGAGGCAGAAGACAGTAGTCAGATAATACGCAGAGAACACGGTGTCAGGAAGTGTCCGTTCTTTGCAGACCTGACCACACCCATAGCGAGAACTCTCCAAAAACAAACTGCTACTGAAAGCAAGTTCGCTGTAGCTAAGCAGCATGGTTATTTGACATACCACAGGGTCAATTAAAATAGACGTGATACACATAGGTGGCAAGGAGCAGAACCATCTCTCCCAAGTCCCCTGTCTCTACTCTTCCAACACAGAATAGTTTCCCTGACACAGTGTCGTCTGTAGAAATCTCTGCATGTACACGCATGTATGTTTAAAACAGGGACTCAGTGCCAGTGGTCCCAACTGATACCCATACAACACAATTCCTGCTCTTAAGGCTCAGGAACCATTACAGAAGACTTAGGATAGTGACAGCCAGAAGAACGGGAAGTTTGCTGTGAGATTGCATTTCCTGGAAATGTTGAGAGGCTCAACAACATGGCTACCTACCTAACCAGGACCTGAAAACCAATGAAAACCAATGGACATGTTAACACGGGGAAGGGAAAAACCCATGAGGCCGCAACCTTAGACAAAGAACTACAGACAGTTGGAGAATGCCGAGAGAAATGGTCTTCCCCAGAGAAAAGCCTCCCTGTTGGTTATCCAATACTCTAAAATCATTAACATGCAGGTGACATTATATGGACTGAGCAAGTTGTATTTACATATTTAGGAATACATACACATACATATATACATGTGTACATACATGTAACAACAATCAAAGAAAAAGAGACCATGGATTTGAGAAAGTACGGGTAGAAGGTTGTGTGTGTGTGTGTGTGTGTGTGTGTGTGTGTGTGTGTGAATGGGAAAACTTGAAGGGAGGAAAAGGAAAATGACGTAATCATATTATAATCTTTTTAAAAATGTATTAAAAAAGACAGTCTCCCTGTAGCCCAGTTGACATCAAAGTCACTATCTAGACAAAACTGGCCAATTCATAGAAATTCTTTCTTAACCTCCTGAATGCTAGAATCACAGGCACAAGCAACTATTAGCAGTTTCTTCATAGTACTCGAGTCTAAAAACATCACTGGTGAAATGCACGGGTCAGAGACTCGGGCCACCAACCACGGCAACCTGAGCTTGATACCAGGAACCACACGGTGGAAGGAGAGAACTGACTCTCCAGAATTGTTCTATAGAGTTCACGGGCACCATGTGGCCTCTCAGTGTGCCTGGTATATGTGTTGTGTGTTCAGGAGCAAGGCTGTGGTGTGTACGAAGGCTGGTCAGGTCCTGTATCCTTGTTCCAACACTTCAACACGTTCTTATCAGACAGGCCCTTTTGGAACACGGAGTCTGAAACCCATAGAGGTGCCCGCCACACTAGAAAGAACAGAGCCCCCGAACTGGCAATGGTGTCCACGTAATTCAAGTCTCATTGCTGTCTTGGTACTGGCAGGCACACCCTGGGAGGGAGAGGGCACCTACCACCATACACTTCATCCATACAAATGACTTCATCTCCAGCTTTTAACAGATGGGTGATCGTCACGGTGGCAGCGAGCCCCGAAGCAAAGGCCAAACCTACCATAAAAAGCAAATTCAAATAAGCAAAACCGAACAAACAAACAAAAAACCCAAGCCCAAAACCCAAACTCATAGCAACATCCTAGTGCCATTGGCACTATGGTTCCAAAGCTGCCACTCCTTAGAGGTCCTCTAATTAATGTCATAATATCCCTTTCTGTTTGGAAAAAAAAAGAAACTTTTAAACCCCTTTGTTTACACACACTCTCAGACACACAATTGACATTGAGACTTCTTCTCTTCACTGCTCTGATCATATAGCATCGCTTATATGGAAAACACAGAGAGATGACTTAACCAGAACACAATAGCAAGGAAAGGTCCTGGGAGTGAATCCCTTTCCTTTGAGAGCATATTATCAAGGATTTCTGGTTTGGTGAATGAGCCATAGTGACAGCCATAGAGACGAGGGGTGTAATGAGCTTTGCCATTCTGCTCTGTCCCTATGCACTGCTAACTGGTGAGGACACACATCCAGGCACCAGCCGAAGAGCAAAGCCAAAGGCTTCACTGTTTTAGGAAAGTGGGAGTTTGGAGTCAGATCTCTTATTTTCTACCTCCCGTGCTTCTGTGGTCCCTAGACACCTAAACAGAATCCAGCTTTCACTGTAGATGCAAGTCTCTTACAGTGTTTTGCCCCGTCCAGAGCGGCCACTACTTTCTCCAAGCAGTTCCTTGTGGGATTTCCAGAGCGGCCATATACAAAACCCTGAAAGTCAGAAGAAGAGGAGGAAGAGGATTTATTCATCATCTTAAGAGCTCTTGGTTAGCATCAGAGCCCAATGAACACATGGCCACAGCGACAGACCAATCCCACCATAATGATTCTCTATTACCATAATGATTCTCTATTACCATGGCACAGTTTGGTGTAAGACACAAGTTTGGAGGCATCATTGTGGCTCTGGCCGTATGTAGAGCTCAGAAGATGGCCAAAAGGGGAGCTGGAGAGATGGCAAAGAGGTTAAGGAGGCTTACTACTCTTTTCAGAGGACCTACGTTCAATTCCAAGAATCCACATGTCAGCTCACTAGGTCTGGAACTCCAGTTCCAGGGGATCTAATGCTTTCTTCTGGCCTCCACAGGCATTGCATGTGTATGGTACACAGACAAACATGCAGGCAAAAACACCTATATACATAAAATTAAAATGAGTAAGAGCGATGTACCTACCATGGGTTAGAACGATATGCCTGCCATTTACTCGCTTGGTGCTAGTAGGTAATTGACTCAACATTCTAGTGGTTTGAGGTTGGAAAACAAAACACATGTGTAGCTGCAAAATTGTGAGGATAAAATGGAGTAAGGCACATATTTCCTGTACATGCACCCTTGACGTGTGCTAACCACTAGGTGAGTGGCAGTTCATAACATTGGCACGGCATTGCAATTATGTCAGCCTTGCCCTTCCCTAATAAGATGGATGTATTAGGAAAAGGGAACCGCATGAGTCTAACCTGTGTTTCCCTTCCCAAGACGCAAGTGACGCGAGTCCGTTTAGCACACAAGAGGGTTGAACACGTCATTCAAGGGCTCAGGGTTCAGACATTATTAGCCCTACTAAAATGACTCAAAACCATAGAAGGAAATAATTCTCAGTGAAGATCCTCTATGAGTTGCTGCATAAAAATCTTGTGTCAGAGCCGGGCGTTGGTGGCGCTCGCCTTTAATCCCAGCACTCGGGAGGCAGAGGCAGGCGGATTTCTGAGTTCGAGGCCAGCCTGGTCTACAGAGTGAGTTCCAGGACAGCCTCCAAAACAATACAGAGAAACCCTGTCTCGAAAAACCAAAAAAAAAAAAATCTTGTGTCAGGCTCCCTTTATACTGAAGAGTCATTTAAGCATTTTATTTAGCCTTGTGACTGACCTACATGGAGAAAAGTGAATCCAAATGTTGTAATGTGAGGGTTAGAGCCAATCCTAGGATCTGAGCTGGTGTGATCACACATACACCTGCAATCCCAGCAGAGGCAAAGTCGGATTCGTGAGTTCAAGGCCACCGTGGGCTACTTAGAGACACACTGTCTCAAACAAACAAGAACATCGACACTTTTCTCCCCTTGGCTTATACAGCATATCACTATTCATACCCTTGCTTTGGACTCGGAAGCTTCTAGTATCAGTAATAACAATTTTTAAAAGTTTTCCCTTGTATAGATAAACTGGGCATACATCCCTCACAGGGCTCCAGCTGTCTTCAACACCCACCACTATCCCTGGCTGCTAAACTCTCCAAACCTCCTCCAAAATGAGCAGCCCCATGTTTCATAAATATTCATGGACGTGCAGATAACTAACATCCTGAGTAGGAGATGTTTCATTGGCAAACTACCTTGTGCATTCCATGGCTTTTCAAATGGAACTAAAGGTTTCTGAAACTTCTCATTGCTGCGGTGCTATGATCTTCTGGAGATTCTGAGCACATACTGCATTTAACCAACCCTGCTTGCTCTCTGAACCACTTAAACATTAATACCATACTGGAACGCTCAGTTTCTACACACTGTTCCATACAGGCAGCAGGCCTACATAGGAGGGTGCCACCACTTGCTTGGAGGAGTTGGTGTATGTATTTGGAATCACCAGCTAGGAGTATCCTAACCTGCTATAGTGAATGCCCTTGGAACTTTACCTCACAGAACAAAGGCTGTTTGAAAGAACTTTACTTGACTTACAACACACAAAGGCAGTTTCCAGAATAGTCAAGACCTGGGAACATGCAGCAATTGCCTTACTAACTGTTGTCCTCTGAACTTTGGGCAACTTTTAATACATCAAGACCCATCTAGTAAACCACCAGAAAAGAAGATGCCATGAGATTCACAAGACTGCATCTTACAGGCTTTACTGGTCACTAGTGTCTGAGTTTGGGGGTCAGTTTCCTTTTCTGTAAAAAGGATTTAGCACCTACCCTCTGACCTGGATGCTATAATCAAATGGAAATAGCGAGACATGAAGATTGCAAACAACAAAGTACTTCTGAGTGGTGAGTGTGTACCACATAGTTTACAACAGCAACAGCTTATATGGTGTGTTCTGTCATTATCCCTGTTTACACAGGGTCAACTCAAGGCTAGGGTGGGTTAAATAGCTTCCTCCAGGTTACCCAGACAGAAGAGCTGATGCAAGAATTAAAACCCTTGCACTCTTAATCACAGAGTCACACTGCTTAGATCAGTGGTTCTCAACTCCATGTGGTGACCCCCCAACCATTACATTATCTTTGTTGCTATTTCATAGCTATAGTTTTGCTACTGTTATGAATTGCAATGTGAATTCCTGATATTTGAGTCCTGTGAAAGGGTCATGGTGACCCACAGGTTGAGAACCACTGTCTTAGATGATGAAACGGCTTGGACTATTAGCACAGCTGTGATGCAGCACCGTGCAGCCAGATGCAGAAGAGAGGGCTTCAAGACAAATTAAAGCCTAGCTTCACTGATCATGAACCTCGGTAGCCGCAGGTTACCCAAGCGCTGCTAATCCTAACTCTCAGATATCTCAATCTGACACTGAGACCTTACCTCAGGCTAGGTTCCTTCTCGTTAACATTGGATGAGACTACGGGTAACACTCAGAGACTCTGAGTATGCAAATGGTGTGTAAGTATTCCGTAGCTGTTGACTGAACACATTTATCAGAACTGATCTTCGTTCTCTAGGACGTTCATCATTTAGTGTGCTGAGGACACCATATGGATTATGGAACGGAACTGAGGTAGTCAGGTTGGTGACAGCACCTTTGCCTGCTGTGATCAAACACCATGATCGAAAGCAATTTGGGGAAGACAAGTTTCCTTCGCTTCCCTGTAAAGGTTCATCATCGTGGAAAGCAGGTAGGGCAGGAACTTGGGGGCAAGAGCTGATGCGGGCAGCGGCTATGGAGAAGCGCTGCTTACTGGCTTGCTCACCCTATTTACAGAACTCAGGATCGCCAGTTTGGGGGTGGGGGACAGGGGGTCCCCCAGTCAAAATGAACTGAGTTCTCCCCCACTAATTAGGGAGATGCCCTAAGTGACCTGCCTGCTTAGCAGCCTAATCTTCGGGAGGCACTTCCTCAACTGAGGTCCCCTCCTCTCAGACAACAACAGCTCGGGTCAAGTTGATACAAAGCTAGTGAGCACACCAGCTGAGCCACCTCGCCAAGGACCCTCGTTTTTCAAAGGAAGACAGGGATCTTCGTTGCTACAGAATCCATCAAATTACAACTCTGATTTTTTTTTTTTTAAATCGCACGCAGAGACCACCCCCACGAGTCCGGAGCGCTGTCGCGGTCCGCCCAGTCTTCCCTGCCCGCCCCGTCGCTCACCGAGGATCCGTCGGGCGAGTCCTGCTTGAAAGTGGTGGACAGAGAGATGGGCAGCACCACGGCGCGTGACTCCCACTGGTCGGGATCCTGCGCCGTGTGGATGGCCTGCGTGGCAAAGTGCGGGAAGCCGGGCAGGAAGCCGCTCGGGGAGGCGTTCTTTTGCATGCTGGGGTCCGGGGACTGCAGGACTTTGCCGAGTGTGAGACCAAATTGGAGGCTTTCAAAGCTTCGCCTTTATATCCAGGGCGGGGCGGGGCCGCCGCGGCCAATTAGCGCGGGTCCCGAGGCAGAGCCATTGCCCATTGGCCGACAGCGGAGGTGTTGCCCGGAGTCTCCCTGCCCCGCCCTCCCAGTGGCGCCGAGCCCCCCACTAGAGGTGAGCCTTCAGACTGAGTCCTGGGCACCCTTTGCCCGCAGGATACAGACGCGAGTGTGGGCGCCTGGCGGGACCTCGAGTGCCGGAGTCGCGCGGGGATGAGTCTCCGCCGTCCGTCTGATCGGATCCGGGGACCGCTGAAGCGGAGTCCCCAGCGCCTGAGGTCCCACCCTCGCCAAGATCAGGCTTTAAGGTGGAAGGAAGTCTTGCTTCCCAAATGACACACAGCCTTGACCTAATTTTACTCCATGTCAGGGAACTGGGGAGTTTCCAAATCTCCGAAATCTAACCTAAACTCGGAAACGCTGCAGAACAAACTTAGAAGGCAGTGAGGAACCATTTTTTTTTTTTAAAAAAAAAAGGTTTTTTAAGCAGTTTTTAAAAAACAACGGTTTGGAAAAGGCTGCAAAGAGTAAACACAGTCCCTTTGCTTTTCAAATTAGCTTCAGAAGACACTCACCCTCCAGCACGAAGTGTGAGCTGCAGGGGATTGTCTCTGAAACACAAACGGGCTCCAATGCCTGTGTGATTACTATTTCTCCTTTTAAAATATGTTCTCACCCTGAACACATTCCAACAATTATTTATCTATGTGGGTATTTTTTTAGGTTTATTTTATGTGTATTTCCGTGCATTCCTGGTGCCTACGGAGGTCAGAGAGCATGTTAGATCCCCTCCCTGGGCCTGCAGTTGTAAGCAAATGAGAACGGCATGTGAGTGTTGGGGACCAAATCCAGGTCCTCTGGAAGACACAGACATCAGTGCTCTTAACGTCTGAGCCATCTCTTCTACGGCCGTCTATCTACACATCTCTCTTGATGTGACCACACAGAACAGGTGGGGGCCTGAAACAGTTCAGATTCCAGCTCTAAGTAGAGTTACTCAAGCACGAACATTTTCTTTTTTGTTTGTGTACTTGTCTATTGTGTGCGAGTGCAGAGTGCACGCCTGGAGATCAGAGAGTTTTCAGGACTCTGTCTCCTACTGCCCTGCTGAGGCAGAGTCTCTCTTCTCTGTTTGCCCCAGGCTAGCCCGCCCAGGAAGCTTCAGTTGATTCTCTTATTCTCCTATCTCGGCCTCCTACGGTAGGAATTCTGGGTTACACACAGGTGCACAGCACCACCACAGCAAAGGTATGAATGCTAGGGATCCAACACAGTGGGTCAGGCTATGGGCAAGCATTTTTACTCACTGAGCCATCTTCCCTCCCAACATTTTCTTCAGTTTCATTGTCATGAAGAGTTCTTTGAAGAGTGGCCCCCTCTACAGACGCTCTCAATGAGGCCTTTGTTAAAGTCAGAAGGAGGCTGTGGGATGGCAGAACAAGATTTAAATTTCTGCAGTCACACGATTCTGAATTTCCCTTCTGCTCAGGAGTGCCTCTCCCAGACATCGTCTTATGTGTGTGCAAAAGTGACTACATGCCTCTCGGCTAGTATAGCGGAAAGCAGGTTAACTACCCATCCTTCAGAGCCCAGATAACTAGTTCTGTGATACTGATGAAGTGGTCACGTTGAAGAAAGTTGGCATGACCTTTTCCAAGACAGCAGAGGAAACCGTACAACAGTGTGTGAATTCAGGGGAGCCTGCTGTGCTGTACGAGCTTTTAAGTACGGTTTGACACCCGAAACAACCATGGCGTCGGAAACAAATCCTTTATATGTCATACACAAAAAGCAAAGTACAATGTCCTCTGAATGCTGATTTTTCGTTTAGAGCAGATTGTGAACAACATCACATAATTATCACAACACTGCTAAGCCACGGATACTTCTTGGGAATGGGATTCTGGAAGGACATGTGTTCTTTTCTTCCTTTTACTTTGTTTGTGTGTGTGTGTTGTTGTTGTATGCTTTGTAGCAGAGGATGATGAGGAATTCGGCCCTCCCACCTCCAGTGTGCACCACCATGCTTAGTCTATTTGGGGGTCGAGCCCAAGGCTTCCTGCATGCTAGGCAAGCACTCTATCCTCTGAGCCACATCTCCAGCCCCATCTATAATTAGAAAAAAAAAACCGGGGTTGGGGAGTTAGAGGCAGGGTTTATCTGTGTAGCTTTGGAGCCTGTCCTGGAACTAACTCATGGAGATCCGCCTGTCTCTGCCTCCAGAGTACTGGGATTAAAGGCGTGTTGGAAAACATAGTCTGTGGCTGCCGGGCTTTGTTTCACTACTGGTTTCAGAAACAGTAGGTGACTCGCTCATAGTATCGATGGAGGGAGAATTCTCAACTGGCTACTTGAGACCCTATCTTAAAAAAAGAAAAGAGAAGTCAGGGTGACTCATGCCTTGAATCCCAGCACTTAGGAGGCAGGAGCAGGAGGATCTCTGTGAGTTTCAAGACCAGCCTGATCTACAGAGCTATCTTAAAAAAGAAAGAAAGAAAGAAAGAAAGACAAAGAAAGAATAGATAGAAAATGCAGGAGTCGCCGGGCAGTGGTGGAGCATGCTTTTAATCCCAGCACTCAGGAGGCAGAGGCAGGTGGATCTCTGTGAGTTCGAGACCAGCCTGGTCTACAAGAACTAATTCCAGGACAGTCTCCAAAGCCACAGAGAAACCCTGTCTCGAAAAACCAAAAAGAAAGAAAGAAAGGAAGAAAATGCAGGAGTCTCACTTGTTGGGGGCAGGAGCAGTTCCATTTCATACAGCATGCTGGCCTTGAGTCCAGCATCCCTGCTTGGCTTTCCAAGTGTTGGGGTGACAGACCTGAACCAGGTACCCTGCAGGCATTTCCTCTCTGAGTGGCAATGCTGCCATCCTGTGTTTGTGTCATTCTCTTTAAAATCCCCACTCCAGAATTCCTTCCTCATTCTCTTCTGGCCATCTTTACAGGAAAGGTGATGTGGACTGACTCAGTTTCCCCACTGCGTTCCAGCTTCCCCAGTACCCTTCCTTGGTGCTTTTCTTCTGTGGATCGACAGGTGTATGTCCACAGCAGTAATCACGCCATGGAAGCCATTGCTGGGGTTCTATAATTAGCGCAGCCTCCAAAGGTGCCTGTGGTGGAAACTTGGTTGCTTGTATGATGGGGCCCTTCAAGAGGCCGGGCTGAATGAGAGGTGCTGCCCAGAAAGGAAGCAAAGAGACTTTCTCTTTTGCACCCCAATCTTGGTCTTACTCTCTGCCTTTGATGTGTGATGGTTCTCTCACACATACGTTGCCCACCTATGCAATGATGTGTGCTTTCAGCAGATTGGCCAACGCCCCTGCTGTGCCCATGAGGTCAACAAGCACCCAGCGTCAGCTATTCCATTCCATAACCTTAGGAAACAGACTGTCCTAGCTGCCCTATATTGAGCCTAGTCTAAGAATTCTGCCAACACCTTCAGAGAATACCAGAGAGTAGACATTGTGTCGGCTCCGCAAATGAATACCGGGGAGGCTGAAGAGCTGGTGTCATTTTCGCAGGAGCACGGCATGAATGGAGTGTCCCATCTTCACAACCTGTCCTCCCCAGCTCCCTCCCTGAGCTTCTGACACGTCCTCCTTTGCCAGCAGGTAATGTGTGTGAGGGACTGATCCTTTTTTGACTCATCTTGCGAGTCAGAACAACGTCTCAGTTTTGTGTGTGCATGTTTTGTTTCATGTGGTTTTCCTTGTTGTTGTCGTCGTCATTTTTTAATCATAAAAACACTCACGTCGTCCTTGTTAGTATAGTGGTGAGTATCCCCGCCTGTCACGCGGGAGACCGGGGTTCGATTCCCTGATGGGGAGACACGCTGTCCTTAGCCAGGCGTTGGTGGCCCACGCCTTTAATCCCAGCACTCGGGAGGCAGAGGCAGGAGAATCTCTGTGAGTTTGAGACCAGCCTGGTCTACAAGAGCTAGTTCCAGGACAGCCTCCAAAGTCACAGAGAAACCCTGTCTCGAGAGAGAGAAAAAAAAAAAAAACACTCTCAATTCCTCCAAACCAAGAAAGAAATTCTGTGAATTCCCTGTCCCCAGAGCTTTATGTGTGCCCAAAATGCCAATGCTGAACTGTCTTCATCTGCATTTACTCATTCGCTTATTCCTTTTGTTCATCAACAAACAAAATTATTCAGTCCCAGTTGTGGGCAAGCATGCTGGCGTGTCCCGACTCGGGGCCCGCCACTGTGACTTGGCCCTTTGCCGCCTCCATTCTTCTGGCAGCAAGGACTTTGAAAACTGACCCGCAGGACCACAGTGGAATGCTCTGCCATGAGCATCAGGATCCACCACCAGGGTGACGCTCACACTCCTTCACCTCTGATGCCCAGTTCTTCCCGTTCATGCCGAGTTATCTCCTAGCTCCCCACATTGTGCCGTATCCCTTTCCTTGTAGATGCCCTCATCTGTTCACGACTCTGCACACATTATCATCCTCAGATTTCTTCCCAGTTGTCCTTTGGTTCTCTATGTCTTACTTAGTTAGCTCAAGCTTCTCTTCTGGCAAAATTTGTCCGAATCTTCTGTCCTCTGATGCCCAGTTCTTCCCGGTCATGCCGCGTTATCTCCTCCCTGCTCCCCACATTTGTGCCGTATCCCTTTCCTTGTAGACGCCCACATCTGTTCACGACTCTGCACACGTTATTATCCTCAGATTTATTCCCAGCTGTCCTTTGGTTCTCTATGTCTTACTTAGTTAGCTCAAGCTTCTCTTCTGGCAAAATTTGTCTGAAGCTTCTGTCCCCTGACTTACATGGACTCTATAAGGCTTACTCTACTTGAATGTGCCTTTCTTGGTTATATGTGATGGAAAAAGAAAAAAAAATGTAAAACTTACCTTCATGTCACTAACACCTAGCTCTGACTTTGGCACAAGCACGCTGATCAACGATATTTTGTAACTGCCAGAATAAACTTTACGAAACTGAGGGGATACCA